ATATATATATATATATAAATCTATGTAGTTTTGTGTAGTAGAAGAAGCCACTGTGGCCTTTTTTCTTCTCTAATAAATGGGCTGTGCCTCAGAAGACAAAACACAATCAATGCAATGTGACTTTAGGATGCATGAGACACTCTGAGGTTGCAGAGAGATGCTCAAGATCCCTTTGGAGGTAATAATAATCTCATAATAATAATAATACTGAAGCACTGGGCGGCGCAGTGGGTAGCACTAATGCCTCACAGCAAGAAGGTCGCTGGTTCGAGCCTCGGCTGGGCTAGAGTGCATTTCTGTATGGAGTTTGCATGTTCTCGTGGGTTTTAGGCCCGTAGCCAGCCTGATCAAAGGGGGGGGTCTTTTTTTGCAAAAAGTGGACACACCTCATTTTGTATTTAACTATGAGATTTAAACACATTTTAAGCACTATTTTTATCTGGATTAGCTTGTCGGATAGTCATCATAAACACACTTTTTGATATACTAAAAAAAAATATTTATAATAAAGAAATATTATATATATATATATATAATATATATATATATATATATATTATTTTATAATTTTTTTTAGTTTATTTGTTTACAGGGTCAATGCACATTAATAAACATTACTGTAAAATGTGCCAGAAATAGCCAAGAATGGCTATTTTTCATCCGTAGACCCCTTACAGAATGTTAAAAAGTCACACCTAAAATAGAAGCACAACATTAAACATTAAATACTCTTTCATATAAAAATACAGTTAAAAAAGTTAAAAAAAAACAAAAAAAACAGAACAGACTGATGGCAGTAGAGGACAAAAAGCCAAACACAACAGTACACATGTGACGAGAATACAGTACTAATGCTGACAATGCTAATTTGCCAATAACCAATTTTTAACATGAGACTGAAAAGAACTAAAAGTTATTTATTTTTAAAATACAAATTTATTACATCATATTAAAAAGATATCCCATTTTAAATAAATAAAGCCTATTGTCAATTATTAGGCAAATTATAAATAACAAACTGGCCAGCACATTCAGCTTTACTCAGTCAGAATTTTACCATTTAAAATAAAATTCATTATTAATTACATTTGAAAATTCATGCAAAACAACAATAGCCAAAATAATATTCAAATTAATTTACATATGATCCGCTTTTGGTGCTTTACACCTTTTTATTGGTTATTTTTTAGTTTCATGAATAAGGTTCAAGATTTAGAAAATAAAGTTACTTGTAAACTGTTTTCTCTATTTTAAAAACAATATAGTAGTAAAAGATGACGTCACCAGACCAAATTTGAGTTTATAAAAAAAAAATCAAAAAGCGCCTCTTTTGTAAGGTGTTTATTATAACACTGATAACATATACAGATATTTTAAACACTTTTAATAGTGTTTTATGAAAATTCAAAGGGTTTGCTTTACAATGATACCATATTTGTGCATTTACACCTCTGCATGTGGATTTGGGAAGCTTTTACGTTTAGGTTGGCAAAATCCAGGCGGAAACCCCAAAATATCCCAAGAACTGGTTCTAGTTCCGGGAAACCACCCCATATATTTTAGTACAACCACTTATTTTAAGTGTATATTCTAATAATCGCAGGTCAATTTAAATATGTTGCTTAATTTTTAAAGAAATGTTACGTTGAATGACAATTAATCTTTATTTCTTCCATGTTTTGACTTTATAGTTTCACAACAGTAATCTGAAAGATTAAAGCAGAGCCTTTCCTTGCATTAAATATAGTTTCCATCTATATCAGATCACTAGCGTTAATTTAATGTGATGCCACAAAGTGCACAGACTGCAAATAAATCACGCTAGACCTTCAGTTGGTTATCTAATTCAATGCATTTACACTTTACAATGTTTTTCAATCTAATTGCATTTTTTGAGCTTGAGTGATACTAAACTGACCTGTTTTCCTGAAGGTGGTACAGTCCACATGGTCTGCAGGAACAAAGACAAGGCAGAGGAAGCCCGAGCCGAGATCGTCAAAGAGTCTGGAAACAAAGTAAGAGCTCATATGAGAATGAGCAGGATGTTTGGGTCGCTGTTTAATAGGTGGAGCTGATAGAAATATCACTGGTGGATTATTTAACATAATTGTTGTTGTTTTATTGATGTGCAAGCTGACATTATTAGGCGCATCTCTCACTTTGCAAAAAAAGTAATGCTGTCAAATGCATGTAATCACATCCAAGATAAAGGTTTGCATTTACATAATATTTATGTGTTCTGTGTTTATTTATGTATATGTATATATATACACACATGTCAAACGTAAATAGCTGAATTATTAGTGCTGGGCAAAGATTAATAGCAATTAATCAAATCTAAAATCTTATTTTTGTTTGTTTTATATTATATGCTGTCTAGCCCAAAATTTCAACTTGACTGTGTGTATACTGTGTATATTTATTATGTGTAAATACACATATGCATACATAAAATAAAATAAAAAATAGTTAAAAATAAAATAAATTATATAAAAAATGTTTTGTTTTTATATATGTATTACATATACAGTTGAAGTCAGAATTATTAGCCCCCTTGAATTATGTTTTTCCCAATTTCTTTTTAACAGAGAGATGATTTTTTTTCCCAAGACATTTCTAAACATAATAGTTTTAATAACTCATTTCTAATGACTGATTTATTTTATCTTTGTCATGATGACAGTAAATAATATTGCACTAGATATTTTTCAAGACACTTCTATGCAGCTAAAAGTGACATTTAAAGGCTTAACTAGTTAACTAACTAATGTTAATTAGGTTAACTCGGCAGGTTAGGGTAATAAGGGAAGTTATTGTATAATGATGGTTTATTCTGTAGGCCATCTTAAAAAAAATTGCCTAAAGGGGCTAATAATTTTGTCATTAAAATGGTCTTTAAAACAATAATAACTACTTTTATTCTTGGCAAAATAAAACAAATACGGCTTTCTCTAGAAGAAAAAATATTATCAGACATACTGTAAAAATTTCCTTGCTCTGTTTAACATCATTTGGGAAATATTTAAAAAAGAAAAAAAATCAAAGGGGGCTAATAATTCTGACATCAACTGTATATATCTGGATACAGACTCTGTGAAGTTGCAAGCTGAGCTGCATGCATGTGCTCACCTAACCTAGCCCCTAGCCCTCACAGTGATGTCACTAGCTCCATTGAGTGCATTGTGCCTGATTCCTGTGAATTTATTTCTCCAAATATTTACCAGGTGCTGTTTAACATATTTTAAACATGTTTTAATGACCAATTTTCCTATATAACATTGTACTTGTTATTTTGCTAGACACAAGGATTCAGCTTAAAGTGCAATTTAAAGACTTAACTAGGTTAATTAGGCAAGCCATTGGACAGCAGTAGTTTGTTCTGTAGACACTCAAAAAGGATCCCAATAGTACTGACCATGGCAGTTTTTACATTTTAAATAAATAATTTTCAACATTTCTTAAACAAAATGTTGGCTCTTCTAACATCTTTGTCCGCTTGCAGGAGATCTATGTGCATATTCTGGATCTGTCCGAGACCAAGAAGGTGTGGGAGTTTGTAGAGTCTTTTAAGAAAAAGTACAAAACCCTCAACGTCCTGGTGAGACGAAATCACATTTACACTATTATTGTTCAAAAGTTTGAAATACGTTTAATCAGCACGACATTTATAATGTTGCTTACTATTTCCATTTCAAATAATAAACGCTGATCGTTAAAGATTAATAATGGTTGAAATATATTTCTTGATCACCAAATCAGCATTTTAGAATTATTTCTGAAGGATTATATGACTGGTAAAATAATGCTGAAAAAAGAGTTGCATTTTAAAGGATATTTAAATAAAAAAAAGTTACAGTAAATTATAATATTTTGCTATTTTTACTGTATTCTTAATTGAAAAAAAAAATAATGCAGCCTAGATTTGTATAAGACCCTTAAAAACGTCTCAAACTCATACTGACCCCAAACTTCAAACTGTATATTGACAGACACTGAAGGTATTACTCTTTGTTTTGATTTGATCCTGATTAAGATCAATAATGCCGGCTGTATGATGACTAAAAGAGAAGTGAATGGTGAAGGTTTGGAGAAAAGCTTCGCTAGCAACTCTCTGGGTAAGTGAATGGATATACATAAACAAATAGAGCTTAAAAGGTATGTCTAACTTCTGACTTCCTAATAAAATATCTTGCTGTAGTCTTTCCTTTATGGCAGCTGGGAGAGCTCAAACACACCGCAAGTTAAGAAAGCCTATGCAAATATAAAAAACATTGTACAGTGCATCCGGAAAGTATTTATTGCGCTTGCATTCTACAGCCTTATTTCAAAATGGATTAAATTAATTTATTTCTTCAAAATTCTACACACAGTAACCCATAATGACAATGTAAAAAAAAGGGTTTTTGAAACTTGCAAATTTATTGAAAATAAAAAACCTGAAAACTCACATGTACATCAGTATTCACAGCCTTTGGTGTGAAGCTCTAAATTGAGCTCAGGTACATTCTGTTTCCACTGATCATTCTTGAGATGTTTCAGCAGCTTCATTGGAGTTCACCTGTGGTCAATTCAGTTGATTGGACATGATTTAAAAAGGCATACACCTGTCTATATAAGGTCCCAGGGTTGACAGTGCATGTCAAAGCACAAACCAAGCATGAAGACAAAGGAATTGTCTGTAGACCTAGTCTTAAGGCACAAGGCTGTGGAAGGTTACAGAAAAAACTTCTGCTGCTCTGAGAGTTCCTATGAGCACAGCGGCCTTGTTACGTGTTTTATGATGTTAAAGTGGGATGCTGTAACATTTAAGTGAGACAGGTGTAATGTGTGCGACAGATCAATAATGAGGCAAGGTTCAGTTACTCTTATTTAAAGCTTTTTACTCAATAATTGAATTGAAACATGTAACAATAATAAATGGGAGGGGGGAAAAGAAATAAACATTTAGAATTATTATCTTTAAACAAAAACAACGAGTGTAAGCCAAATCAAAGAAATTAACAAAACAATCCTTAAATCTAATGTCTAAACTAGGCGTCAAAAAGAAACACAAATAAAAACCGAGATCTTCAGTGTATACGACACCCGAACTAAACTAATCAAACTACAAAACTCAAAAATACACGGGTGGCAAAACACTTAAACTAATCTAACAAAACATCAATCTAAACTAAAACAAAACAAAACAAACCGGATAAGTCCGTCAAAGCTTAGTTTAGAATCACACAACCATCATCATATTATGTTACTTAAAGGCAACGAGGTTCAAAAAGCAAACTCGAATTATCACAGTAACTGAGATAAATCACAAAACAGACGAAGCATTTGCACAAACAAATTGCGTGGAGCACAAAGGGTACGCCGAGGCAGAGCGCACCCCACACACTGGTCTGACAGGGCTTTAAATCCTTGCGGCTCGTCCTGGGATTGGTGGAACCGGAAAGCGTCATAATGATGATGGACAGAATAATAAACCAATAAGAAACCTAAAGGTGGAGCAAACGGAGAGGAGGGTGAAAAAAAGACAGAAAGAAAACATAAATCATAACAGGCCTCCATCATTCGTAAGTGGAAGATGTTTGGAAACACCAGGACTCTTCCTAGAACTGGCCGGCCATCTAAGCTGAGTGATCGGGGGAAAAGGGCCTTAGTCAGGGAGGTGATCAATAACCCAATGATCACTCTGTCGGAGCTCCAGCGTTCTTTTTAAAAAGAAGAACAACCATCTGTGCAGCAATACGCCAATCAGGCCTGTATTTTTGTGTGGTCACACACACAAAAAAAAAATTTTTAATTAATAACTCTTAGGTTAGATTCGAACCCGGGCCTCCCGCATGGCAGGCGAGATTTCTACCACTGAACCACAGAAGGCGCTGTTGGGGCGGTGCGTCTGGTAATATCTCCCTCTAACGCAGTCACCCTCGGGCAAAAAAAAATAAAATATATTATAATATAACATACATATATTAACAAATTTTATGCATGATTTCGGGTGCCAGACAAGTTTTAAACCTTGCCACAAATAAATCTAACTATAATTAATTACCCAGGATAGCGAAAACAAAACTTATACAAGACCCTCCGTTACATACAGTAACATAGAACCATACGAAATAAGAACAAGAAAATCGAATTCCACTTAGAAAGATTTAATGAACTAATTTAAATGGCAAATACAACTACAAGTAACAACAATACCAAAAAATAAATATTTATATAGTCAATATCCTACAATCATTTTAAGTGACCCAAAACAATATTCCCCTCAAAAAACAACAACAAATACACCAAGAAATAAATAAACAAAACTTTTCAAATTTCTCAAATAACTAATTAAATGAAAATAAAGGGAGGTTGGGTGGAGAATGTATGTATGTAAGTGTATGAGTGAAACTGACCCAAGAGGCTTGCAGTGGTGATGTCAGGAGGTTACACGTCAGCAGTTCACTGGCTGGCAGGTGACTTGGCAGAACGGACAGAAATTATGAACAGGCAGCCGTTTTCGGAGGTGTCCTAACACATCGCACCGGTAATTTTTCAACACGAAGGTAACATAAGACTGGCACTCGTCAGCAATTACCAGGAAACTTGTTGTTACGGTGGCTATAAAGGACAAGTCAGTGAAAACTTGAGCATCGCCGCATCTCTTCCTCAGCTTCCTCAGACCCAGGCAGAGCCACACCCGCAACGCAACTTGGTGACGCAAACACCACTCCCACACTGGAGGTCAGAACTCTCTCTCTCAGAAAAAAGAAAAAAACCCTTTTATATAATTTCCCATCATTGTAATTGGTTGTAGCATCCAATGGGGTTGAACTCATTATAAAAGGCAGTGACAAAGGAAGTAAACACAAAATAGGGGCAGTACAGAAAGTTTCTGTATTGTCACATTCTCCCCCCCTTGACAAAACAACCCATGGTTGTTAAAAGAAATACAATCAAAATCCAAAAAATTCCTCCTCTTCAGAGGTTTCTTCAAACAATTCCCGAAGTCGTTTTTTTTCTTGGACTTCCAACTCCTCAGCTGTTGGGAAACATTCTTTAAGATTACACACATGTACTGTGCGCACATCTTCTCCAGTTTCCTCCAAGGCTATACGATAATTTAAAGGTCCCAGTTGTTTTAAAACTCGGTAAGGTCCTTTCCATTTTGGTGCCAGCTTGGCACTGAACTTGTGCTGTGCACTGGACTGAGGGAAATTGCGCAACCATACTCTGTCTTTATTTTTGAAACCGGCCTCTCTTCTCTTTTTGTTGTAGTTTCGGAGTTGGCGTTGTTGTGCCCTTCGGCAATTCTCTTGAACTTGTGACTTCAGTTGTTGTATGTGACAGACTACATCATAAGAGGTATTATCGGGGATAAGATTCTGACCATGAAGTATTTTATCCATTGGTCCATGCAGTTTCCTTCCAATCTGCAGTTCTGCTGGAGTTACTCCCGTGGTTTCCTGGATGGCAGTATTCATTGCGAATCTAATCTCAGGTAAGAACTGATCCCATTTGCTGTGGTTGTCATCCACATATGACGCAATCATACTTTTGACAGTTCTATTCACCCGTTCTGTCATATTGGTCTGAGGGTGATAAGCCGTTGTTAGCTTCTGTGTAACTCCCCACTTTTCACATACATTCTTAAACACAGATGAGATGAACTGTGTTCCTCGATCAGAGAGAATGAAGTCTGGAACCCCCCAACGGGTTAAGATTTCTCTTCTAAAAATCACAGCAACACTCTGAGCATTTGCCTGACGCATGGGAAAGAACTCAACCCATTTGGAGTAATAGTCAACAAACACCAACAAATACTCGTTTTGCTGTGTACTCCGAGGTAGGGGTCCCATAATATCAACTCCAAGCATTTGATTAGGTCGAGAGGTGATGGTTGATTGAAGTTTTCCTGCTGGTTTCTGATTATCATACTTGATCGTTTGACACTTCACACATTCTTTAACGTGTCTCTTCACATCAGTCCATAAGCCTGGCCAAAAAGCAACTGCTTGGATTCGTTTATAAGTTTTGTATATTCCATGATGGCCACTTAGCGGGTGTGAATGATAGTGATGAAGTAGTGTCGGCCGAAGACGGTTTGGAACATACACACGATAATGTACTTGGTCATTCTTCAGGTAAGTTTTATGGTACAGCTTGTCCTCTATCACTTCATATTGTTCCAATTGATTTGGTTCTTCTGCTACAGCCTGTAGTAGTTTTGTTGTTTCTTCATCTGAATGTTGTTCCTCCCATAGGACAACATCAGAAACTGGAAGCTCTGTGTGCTGGTTTGTTTGCTGCTTCGTGTAAACTGCTGTAACAGGAGAAATTGTAGTGAGAGGTGATCTGGACAAAGCATCAGGAGCTACATTTAACTTCCCTTTTCGGTATTCAATGATGAAGTTGAATTTCTGCAGTCTCAAGACCCATCGAATAAGGCGGCTGTTAGTTTTTGTGGATCCCATCACCCACTGAAGAGCAGAATGGTCCGTTACTACTGTGAAGAGCTTGTACTCTAGGTAATGTTGCCACTTCTCCAATGCCCAAACAACAGCTAAACATTCTTTTTCTGTTGCAGTGTAATTTACCTCAGCCCCAGTTAAGGTGCGACTGGCATAGGCAATGACCTCTTCACTACCTGGATCCTTTCTTTGAGTGAGAATAGCACCCAGTCCTGTATCGCTGGCATCAGTGTATACAATGAAAGGTATTTTGAGGTCAGGGTGGCCAAGAATGGGAGGTGAGGTAAGGCATGATCTTAACTGGTCAAATGATTGTTGACACTGTGCTGTCCATTTAAACACCTGTCCTTTTTTCTTCAGGGCATTGAGGGGCTCAGCAATTTTTGAAAAGTTTTGCACAAACCGGTGGTACCAGCCGGCTAGTCCCAGGAATCGCTGAACTTCCTTCAGATTGTTGGGTGTAGGAAAAGAGAGAATGGCCTCAACTTTGCTCGGATCTGCCGTGATACCTTTAGCATTTACCACATGCCCCAGAAACGTGATCTCTGGTAGGAAAAACTTGCATTTTTCCAGGTTGATGGTCAGTCCAGCAGCTTCTAGCCTGTGGAGGATGGTTTGCAGATCACAGAAGTGTTGGGTCACTGAGGGAGAATACACAATTATGTCATCAATGTAGACAAGGCATATCTTTCGTCTTAGTTCCCCTAGTACGGTCTCCATTAACCTCTGGAATGTAGCAGGTGCATTTTTTAATCCAAAAGGCATAACATTAAATTGATATAGCCCATCAGACACAATAAAAGCAGTCTTTGCTTTGCTGTCAGGATCCATCATCACTTGCCAATACCCACTGTTTAAATCGATGGTAGAAAAAATTGTTGATCCAGAGAGAGATTCTAGTATCTCTGTGATGTTTGGAAGAGGGTAAGCATCATTTTCCGTTATTGCATTTACTTTGCGGTAGTCCACACAGAATCTTAACTTGCCATTTTTCTTAGGAACCAACACCACCGGTGAAGCCCAAGAAGAATGTGATGGTTCTACAATACCTTCTCTCAACATTTGTTCCAATTGCTCCTCCATCACCTGTTGTTTTACAGGAGACAAACGATATGGCTTTTGTTTGATAGGTACCTGACTGGTGGTGTAGATACGGTGTTGAAGTAACTTGGTTTTTCCAGTTCTTTGAGTACATACCCTGGGGTTATTCTGCAGGATCTGTAGTAACTGTTGCTTTTCTTCTTTGGGAAGCTGTGCTTTACTTACAGCATCCCAGATCTGTGTTGCATCATCGACATGATCAGTTTGTAGCATACCCAATGAGGTTTGAGGTGGAGGGACAGCACTTAACAAGGTGAGATTGAGTTTGTTCTTTCTGAGCGTCTTTTTTTCTGTCATGGGTGTCATTTTAACTAGAGGTTCACTTGCATATCCAGGTTGAAATGGGTGTTCTTCAGTAGGATCAGACGTAAAAGAATACTTGCGTTCACTAACATGAATTTTCAGACCACTAAAGAATATGAAGTCCAAACCCAAGATGATGGCATATGCAAGAGCTTGAGATGGGAGGACAACAGCAGGTACTACAAAGGATTTACCATGTATTTGAATAGTGATGTTTAACCATCCTAAGGGTATCTCCGCTTTTCCATTAGCCAAGTAAAGAGGTCCACTCGACCAGTTTTGTAGCTGGGCAGAGGTATCAAAATGCTGCATTAGACTTTCATGTATTAGCGTGTAGCTTGCTCCGGTGTCCAGTATGGCTTTTCCAACCCATGATCCAATACTAATTGGGACAACTAATTGTTGTGGAATGGCCAGAGATGACATAGTTGTAGATGGAAGGAAAACATTTGGAACTTCTTTTGTTGATTGGGGTGTTTCAGAGGCTGCTACAATGATGTTTGTAGGTCGACCACCTGACTTTGCAGCATGAAAACTCTTTCCATGGTTTGGGTGATGTTGCGTGGAAGATAGCTGGGAAGGTGGAGTTAAATACATTGGGCAATTTCCTGGTGGATG